CTAAGCACATCGTTATCTGCAGCGACTCCCAACTCGTGGTCAACCAGGTCACCGGCGAATATGAAGATCGCGCGCCAACCATGGTCGCCTACTTATCCAAAGTCAGAGAGGCTCAGCTCAACTTTCAACCCTACTTCATCAAGCAAATCCCAAGATCCGAGAACGCCGAGGCCGATGCCCTGTCCCGATTAGCCAGCACAAGCGATAACAACATGAGAACCGTGTACATAGAGAACCTGCCTCAGCCTAGCATTCTCGGGGGGGCAGAGGAGGTCACCCTGTCGTACAAGCAAAGCCGAGCTGGGTTGATCCACTCGTGAGCTACCTGCTACACAGGACCCTCCCTACAGATCGTAATGCTGCCAGAAGGGTAGGGCATCAGGCAGCATAATACGTCATGATAGACGGATGGCTGTACCGAAGATCCTACACGCTCCCTTATCTGCGCTGCTTACGACCTTCTGAAGCCGAGCTCGTGCTCCACGACATTCATGAGGGTTTGTGCGGCGGACACATGGGGGGCAGGGCTCTTGCCCAGAAGGCGCTACGACAGGGATATTATTGGCCAATGATGAAGGCAGATGCGATTGAGTTTGTGAGAAGGTGTGACAAGTGTAGAAGCATGCCAACATCTACCACCAGCCCGCCGCCGACCTAAAGTACCTTACCAGCCCATGGCCCTTTGCACAGTGGGGGATCGATATACTTGAACCGTTTCCACCAGTGACAAGACAGAGGAGGTTCTTAGTAGTAGCAGTCGATTATTTCACTAAGTGAGTGGAGGTTGAACCTCTCGCAATGATCACGACGCGAAGTGTGCAGAATTTCTTCTAGAAGAATATAGTTTACCGTTTCGGACTACCCAAGTGCTCATCTCTGATAACGGCAAACAATTCGAGGACATTAAGTTCCAAAACTGGTGCAAAGACATGGGAATACAACAAAATTTCACCTCGGTGGCGCACCCTCAAGCAAATGGTCAAGCGGAGGTCACAAACAGAGCCATTCTCCGCGGACTGATGGCACGCCTAGCCCGAGCTAAGGGACTGTGGGTAGACGAGCTGCTCAGCATACTATGGGCTTATCGAACCACGATGAAGACCCAATGGGTGAGATCCCTTTCAACCTCACTTACGACATGGAGGCGGTAATCCCAGCCGAGATTGAGGTCCCTATGCTACGCCTGGAAGCATATGACGACGAAGCAAACAAGGATGAACTACACACCAACCTCGACCTACTTGATGAGGTGCGGGAGCTCTGCGTGGGTCAAGAAGAGGAACCTCCACGTCGGAGACCTGGTTCTTTGTAAAGTCATGGTACCTGAGCCCGGTGTTGGTAAGATCGGGCCAAATTGGGAATGACCCTACCGAGTAAAACGGGTACTCAGGGAAGGAACGTATGAGCTTGAAACCCTAGAAGGGAAGCAGATACCTCGGGCGTGGAATATTGTCAATGTAAGGCATTATTAGTTGTAATTACCGAGCTGAGTGGATCACAAGTCGCTCCTCGAGCCTAAGGGCCAAAGTACCGAGCTAAACCTCGACACTAGACCCAGTCGCCTCCTCGGCATGGGCGAACTCCAGAAGAGGGTAGACCACAAGTCGCTCCTCGAGCCTAACGACCAAAGCGCCGAGCTAATAAAAGAACCTCGGCACCATATAAGATCCAGTCGCCTCTTTGGCATGGGCGAGCTCCAGAGGAGAGTGGACTATAAGTCACTCCCTCAACCTAAGGGCTAAAATACCGAGCTAACAAAGGACCTCAGCACCATCAAAGACCTAGTCGCCTCTTTGGCAAAGGCGAAGTGCTAAGACACACCCAGCTCGGGTATGAATACCTGTAATGGTTGTTACAATATGTAGCCTGTGTGCAGACAAGTCGGGCGTATACCCTACAATGTCGCTCACTTCGGCAAATTACTCCTAAGTACGAGGTGGCAGTTCGGGGTAGCAGCTAAGAAACCCCTACCTCGGTGACCTAGCTCGATGACTCAATAGTTCGGAGAAAGTTACATAATTATGATAAAATAGGAGGTAATTGCTCGACACTTTGCAAAAAGACTTTCATTAATTTTGTAGTTCATTACAAGGGCAGAAAAAGAACAAAAAACGCCGAGCTCGCAGGCTCAAAATACAAAAGACCACTTGGACTACTTAGGGGACTTGTCACTCTTGCATGAAGCCTCCGCGGAAGTACCAACCTGATCGGTGGCATTGGCTTCTCCAATGTCATCATCACCCTCCTCCTCAGAGTCCGGGTCCTCAGCAGCTAGAAGGGCTACCTCCTCAGTGATTCACAAAGTGGTGATGGCGCTTACATTGAGCTGTGGGAACTCACGCTTGATCAGCCACCTGCTGAGCTTGAAGCCTTTGCGGTAGGCCTCCACCAGCGCCCCATCGAACTCTTCCGAGCTCTTGTAGTCCTCAACGGCCTTCACCTTGGCCTCGTCCATAGCCTTGAGGAGGATCTTTGTTCGCTCCTTAACATCGGCCTCGAGGTTCTCCACCCGGCGCAGCAAATCTTCCTTCTTCGACATCAATACCTTGATATACTCTTTCTGAGCTATCGCGTCGCTCTCTAGCCGGTGGATCTAACCGCGAGCTAACTTTAGTTCGGTGTGAGCCTCGCGGGACAAGCTCTCGGCAGCCAGGGCCCGCTTCAAGAGCATCTCGGACTGGAGGGTCAGGGCGTGCACGATGGAGTTCACCTGCCAAGAGAATACTAGTTAGTACCGGCAAGGCTACAAAACCAGAAATCAAGGCAAAACAAGACTTACCACCATGCAATGAGTAGCGGCTCGAGCTCCAAGCTGGGTGGTCGATGGGAAGGGCCACCCCGCGGGATTACGGACTACAAAATAATCCCGCTTTCAGGCCAGGATTTTACTAGGGAGGTCGTGTAACAATTTGTAGCCCGGGCGAGGGGACAGGTAATAGGTCCACTTATACTCGGGAAGGACACAAGAAGCATTCTTCTTTATTGACAAAATAGATGAGAAAATGTCGAGGTCGAGGGGTAGGGCATAGTCAAAGCATAGGGAAATTGTCCCGACCACATTCCGGATGGAGTTTGGGTGAAGTTGGTCTATGGTGACTTCTATGATTAGGGGGTGTAGAGGAAGACAGAGTCCAGCCGCGAGCTGTTCTCCGAAGATCACGATCTCATCATGATCGTGTTCCCAAGGGAAGTTGCCCGCGGGAAGGTTATAGGTATACTCCCTCGAGAGGTTGTACTTATGTATTAGGGCCCTAAGTCTATCTACGGTCATGGTTGAGGGACCAAACTTGTTCGGCACCTGACCTCGAGAAGAGGTGGATGCCGGGTTATCTGAGGCCTCCCACGCCTCATAAGAGGATTGCACCTCGGAAAGGCCCGCTTGAGCCAAGGTACCCACCTTGGGCACATCTAGAAGACTATCGAAACTATGGTTTGACATAACTATTGAACTGAAGCGAACTGAAAAGAGGAGCTAGGGAGACTCACCAAGAAGAGAGACCGAACTGAAAGACTGATGAACTAGAAAACCCGAGCTGAGGACTTTAACCGCGACCTCAAGGCAAATGCTAGTGAACTTGTGGCGGAGAAAATGACTTAGGTCCCCCCTATTTATAGCCGCAAGGTCAGGGGATCAACGGTCGAGATCAAGGAGATCTGACGGTTCCTGAGAAAACCGGTTGCACGACCCTCGAGGTCGAAATCAGTTTAGTGCATTTTTTGGCATCCGCGGAGTCTATGGATCACGTGATGTCCGCGCGTAAACCGCATGCGACCTGGGTTATGCTTGATTGAGCCGAGCAGCCGAACTGGTCCGACCGATGAACTATCTGACTGGACGGCCTGAACCTCGAGCCAAATCCACCCATCACGCCATGAACTCCCTACACCAGGTCAGGACCCCTGGCCCGGGGAATTGGGGGGCAATTGATGGAGGGTGATTTGGCCCTACCTCATAATGAGGGGACACGTGGACGTGACTCGACATAAGTGACAACTCAGTGTAACGAGCTCGTTATAACCCATCCTGACAGATCGCCATGAATGGCAGCTCGCTACAAGATAATACTCCGTTACCCTGGGCTAAGACTCTCCCAAATAGGGAGCACCTCGAGCTCAGACCCTCCCAAGTAGGGAGCATCCCAAACTGAAGACACTTCGAGTTAAGCTCGTCAGCTTCCTAACTAGAATAAGCTCGCTCCTGTCCAAACCTAAGTAGGCTACCTCGGAGACCTGCCTTGAGTAGAAGCACCTCGACGCATCACCAACAGCTCGGTGTAAGGTAGCTCACTGCAGAGTAGCTCAGCGTATCGCAGGGGGTTTCCTGCCCGACAATCGTACCTGCCAAACTTGGAGACTGTGCCCACATCTCTCACCCGGCGGCGT